ACACTCACACAGAAGAAGGCAATGGCAAACCCCTTCTGGATCATCTGCCAAGAACGTATATGAACAGGTCCCAGTCCGAGAAAAGGATGGAAGGATCCTGTTCATATGGACCTGTCGTCAGACAGAACACTAAATAATATAAATAAAAACAGCAAAATATGGAGTGCTGAATATCTGCATACCTTCCATGTAACATCGTTAAACTCTTTGAAAGATGTAATACGTTGGGCTCTCCCTCAGCGGAGGATAATTAGTCTAATTTTCTTAACTGAACGTTACCAGAAGTAGATTATGAACTTCATTTCCCTTTTGGAATTTGACGAATAAGACTTGATTTCACCAAGATGGGGCTAAGGCCGATACAGCAACTTCAAAAGTTCAGTAGTTGAGAGAGTTCTTTGGCGGTCGCATTATTTCTCGATAATCGTCGCCTTCTCGATCACCGGATCGATAGTCAAAAATTACTGTCACGAAGCTCGATATATTTCCAAACTGTTACCATACAACATTTGAGAACCCTGCGTAAGTTGGCTGTACTGACTGTAGTGCTTTTCTGCCTCAAAAGTTGGCACAACCTCCACATTAGTATTATTTACAGAAGAAATGCAAAATATTTAAATGTGATGCTCATACAAATTTTAATTACAATTTTGTGTTTGGTTCTAAGATAGTAAAGACACACAAACATGGGTTAAATCGTAAGCTAATTTGTCCTACTGAACATTTAAACTGCAGCTGGGATACATACGACGAAATAATATTCATATGATTTTTATCAACTTTCTGATGGGATTAGTTACCGAGTTACAGGCAGCATCTTCAACAGGACTCGAACCCAGGACAGAATTTTTTCCGTTTCCTTTGTTCTTGTGATATCCCCCGCCGAAACAGATATCTCTGGTCTTGGCGCCTTTCCGTTTCAGTATTAAAAAAAAACTATGCAATTTCTCTTAAGCTTGACCTGTTAATTTAAGAGAAAAGTATCCATAAAACAATACGCCTGTTATTTAAACAAATTTCATTCGTAATTTTACAAATCGAGGGCATCTGTAGATCAAAGGTCGCATGATAACATGTTTTAATGTGGAACACTACAGTATACCCAAAACGGTTCAAAGTTTGGAAGGGAATCAAAGAAGAAGGAGAAAAGGAGAAGAGGGAAAATGGGAAGGAGAAAAAGGAGAATGAGAAGAAGAAGGAGAAAAGGAGAAGAAGGAAAATGGGAAGCAGAAGAATAAGGAGGAGGAGACGAAGAAGAAGAAGGAGAAAAAGGAGAATGAGAAGAAGAAGGAGAAAAGGAGAAGAAGGAAAATGGGAAG